CTTCGGTGTACCCCAGGGCTCAGTTTTAGGCCCAATTTTGTTCAGCATATACACCACCCCATTGTCCAAAATTATTGAGAAACATGGTCTACAGTTCCAACTTTACGCAGATGATACTCAGTTGTACCTGTCGTTGAAACCCTCTCTGCCTGGAGATTTCAATACATCAAAGTATCAAATTGAAGAGTGTATTAGTGAAATTCGTGTATGGATGGGAATCAATTTCCTTAAACTGAACGACGAAAAGACTGAATATATTCTTTTTGGATCAAACAGTTTAGTGTCTAAGTTTGATAAAGGTGTTTCACTCTTAGTTGGTGAGCACGAAATAATCCCAACATCTTCAGCCTGTAACATTGGTGTTATCTTTGACAGTGAACTATCCATGGAGAAACAAATTAGCAATATTTGCAGATCTTGTTATTTTCAACTGAGGAATATAAGTAAAATCAGTAAAAATTTGCCAGTTGAGTCCATCAAAACTGCTGTTCAGGCGCTTGTTGCATCACGATTAGATCAATGTAATGCGTTGCTTATTGGTTTACCATCTCGTCTCACTGATAAATTGCAAAAGGTTCAGAACGCGGCAGCTCGACTCATTACCAGAAATAATTATATCTGAATACATTTTGTGAAAGCGTGCGCTATATAAATGATGATAATAATAATAATAATAATAATAATAATAAGTTACACACTGTCTACGCAATGCGTGACAAAAATTGACCGCATTGGTAAGCACTGAGATGCAGTGGCACTACTTGTTTACCATAGGTTAAGTATTGTTCGCGCATTGTTCATGTCTGCCGTAATGCATTGTCCCGCAACGTCCTGCAGTGTCACGCACAACACGTATAGTTCCCGCTGTCTTCAAGCATCGTCCCGAAGTGTCCATGCTTACCCTTCACACACTCCTCACGCTCCGTCCCGAAGACTTTAATGATTGACACGCCGAACGAGAATCGTGTAAGCGTCAGGGTGGCATTATGCTAGGTTCCCTGCACTGTCGTGCGATGCGTTACGAACGCGACGATTGACCATTCTTAGCTGCGCGTGGAATTTTTGTGTAATTCTCTGAAAATTCCCGTTTGGATACGAGGTGATGCGAGTCGATACGTTCTGGTGCGCTTGGGTGCGATATGTTCACGATTAGTCAATTTCAGGTGACACAATCTGTCACGGTTCAGATACGATCAGACACGTCCCGATAGAATTGTCCCTATTGGGTCAGCGACCTGATACGCACAGATACGTTCGGGTACGTTTCGATACGGTCATCAGGAACCGATGCGCTCTTTTGCGTTAAGATACCATTGCTGTCGCAATATCTTTCACGATCGGGAACAGCCCGACTGACCATGGACGTCATTGTTTCCTGAACTTCTACTAAAATACAACGAGGTTGTACAGGCGACCCTACTCCTTGCCACGTACAAGTGGGGAATCGAAACCACGCCATTTGAATCAATAGCAAACATGTACAATTGGATAGGCATATTTGCAAGTTTATGGTGGTGATGTTTCAGTTAATAGAAAATGGGGATAAAACCTATTTGCCATCTTTATTTTATAGTAATCAAATAGTCAATTTTAATTCATTACTTTTCGCGCCTCGCTTCACGTGACATTTATCATCACTTTTGAAAGTGTATGTCTTTTAAAAAATCAATTCTGCGAACATAGCAAAGAAGAAAAATAAAGTATTATGCACGTTTGTGAATTATTTTTTCGTTCTTTTGTAGGACATGTTTTGCTTTGTTCATTACAAATGGCGCCAAAAACATAGAGTACACGACTCGTGTTCTGATTTCGAAATGCTCTCTGTCTTAAATGTCGGATATCAAGATCCCATAATTTCACGGCAATTTAATAACATAAATATTGATTGAAAAATGGACCAATATTCTATTTTTATTCGTGTTTTTAATTTCGAATATTGTGGATAATATTGAGCTACTGGTTTAGCTCCTCTTGGATTATTTTAAAAGCACGACGTTTCAACAAGTATCCTCTTATCGTTATCAAGCGCAGCTGTCCTGGAAAATTTTCCCCCATAACATATTGCGCTGCATGGCGTATTGACGTCTTCCTTAACCATGCTGGTGCAGAATAAAGCTATGTTAAATTCCATTTCGTTTCATTTCGATGCCTCGGCGACATATCCCTTAAGTTCACTGGTAATAGTCTATACATGAGACGACAAAACACATTTATATTAGATTATCTGAGGTCAGTATGAACTGCCAAACATGTGTTTACACGTCTATCACATCTGTAAGCTATCAGCCAAACACAGATAATCATCTACGTTTAGCGGTAAACCTAAAGGCCCGTTCGCACAGTACCGTTATTTGCCGGTGCGACACCGTAATGTATCGAGCTGACAAATCAGAATATAAATCCGATTTTTAACTTGCGATTTACTGTGAAGGTAATTCGTTATTGGTTAATGTAGGGATAACTATAAGACTGGTTTCCTGTTGTATGAAAATGGACAACTAATTAATTATATTGAAAATACTGCCGTTTCTAATTACTTGCGAATTCATAATTTTTGTTCTATTTATTCTATGGGTGGACCAAATGGTGACCTATTCCCGCGAAGTCATCAGTCATTCGGATATCAGTAACGAAATTATATAGCCTAGTTAAGAAATTAATTAAATTGGGGTTTAACGTCCTGCTGTTCTGCACCGACTGGGCTAATGAAGACAGGCAAGCGCCATACAGTGTGCCATGAGGAAAAACTTGCCCGGACAGCGGTGCCATGGCCTACTCTTATTGAATTCCAACTATCCAGGGATCCTTTACGTGCACGCCAATGTGTACACCGGGCCTCGGTTTATCGTACCATACTAACGACTAGACACTGTTGCTTATCAGAGCTTGGTCTACACCACTGACAAGGGAACACCACGCTTGAAAATCCTGATGAACTTTCTTGGCCACCACCCGGAAATAAACTAGAGACTTAATTCCTTACTCATGTAGCCACCGCGGCTCCCTTGATAGTTAAGGCGACCACGGTTATTTTACAATGCTTGTTTAATATGACAAAAATGTCATGATGGGGTTTCCTCAAGTCGAGATGTGCCGAAGTACAGACGCCAAATATCCTAATCAAATAGTAAATCAGTTTACAAACCCAGATTGTGAATTAAAAGCTTGGCATCTTTATAAAGGATCGACCCTTATTTTATAGATCATCTAAAGGTTTTTCTTAATAATTATGCAAATTTAACTCCAAAGTGTAAAGAAATGAAATGTCCGTTCTAAGTTTACGCTCAAAATTGTGAGCCATTCGTAACAAAATTCTTAACTGAAATGTAATGAAATGGGGTTTACTGTCGTACTTTTCTGCATCGGCTGAGCTAATGAAATGAAATGGGGTTTAACGTCCTACTGTTTTGCTCCGACTGGGCTAATGAAGATGAAATTTGCTGAACCTGTTATTAAACGTGTAATGGGTGAAACTACCACATCGTGAAAAAAAGTGTATGGAAATATTTAGCGTTGATATTTTTAAAATTCCTTTCAAAATCTGAACTATCAGATTCCCCCCCCCCCCTAAAAAATCCAACAAAATAACTAACAAAATACTAATGAAACAACAGCGATTAGTATAATCCATTTTAACAAATCACGGGTGGGCTACTGGTGGTAATTTGTTCAGCAACCATTTAATTGAGGCTACCATACCTGTAGCCGCGGTATGCTCAGTAATCTTTGTTGTTTCCCTTTGCGACTGGTGCTGGGCTGGGTTAAGGGTCGGGGCCAGTCGATCGGACGGGAAAACCAAGGTTCCACTTATAGCCAATGCCCGGCGTCTTCAAGTCCGGTTGGTGTAGAACAGACCTTAAACCCCATTTCATCGATACCATACCCCGCCCCCCCCCCCCACTTCTTAATAAATAAAACTCTAATATGGCCTTCATAAAAGAAGGGAGTCATGGTGGCTCTGTGATCGCGGGTTCGATCCCGGTGTTGGCCGAGATAGTCATCGGGTTTTTTCCGGCGTGGGTTCGCCTTGTCATTTGTGCAGGACGGAGGGCCTGCCAAGAACAGCTGTCTAGTTGTTAGGATGGGACGAAACACCGAGGTCCTATGTACACATTGGCGTGTACGTAAAAGATTCCTTGACAGTAGACCTTATAGCGCCGCTGTCTGGGCGCACATGCCAGGGTAGTTATGTTACTGAAACTCGAGCTCGGGTAACCTTTATAGTGTAGGCTACAGTAGGTCTATGTAAAGTGAAATTTGAAAACGAGAATGATTGTTTATCCTTTCCATTAGCGGTTGTATGCACGGGCCTTTAGTCATTTTTTTCCTTTCTGGTTTTCGTTTCTTTTTTGTTTGTTTCATTTAAAGTAGCCTACTGGAACACTATAATAATGTACTTTAACATCTAAAGTTAGAAACATTTTGATTCGTACAAGCTACTACAAGTCATGCCGCGGCCCGATCGCATAATGACTACCGTGGTACGATCCATAGTTTTATCAGATTTAATATTTCTGAATGCAAAATATTATATAAAACCATTGCTGATGGCACTTTATAGTGTCATTGAAATCAGCCGTTCAAAAACATTGCCAGCCCGGTCGCATTATCTTCTACGGTTTATGAGATATAATGTTTTTGAATGCAAAATATAGCGCCTATCCAAAACCATTTCTGAGGGCACTTTACATATGGTGTCATTGAATTCAGCCATATTTCGTACCTAAACATACTTATGTACGGTAGGCTAGTCTTTTTGTATTTATGTTATGAGCTCTGCGACTCAGTTCCATGTGTGGTGAATTTGGAGGCGTGTGGCTTTAGTTTAGGTGACCCAACTGACACTCTTGTTCCCAGAGTAACATCTTCGGGTATCAATAAATCTATTGATTGTTTAAATCATCGACTAAATGGGTGACTTACAATCTTCGCATATATCATAGGTATGTGGAAAACGTCGTCTGGTTGGTAAAAAATACCCGAAACATAGTTTTTAATTTCCGTAAATCCATTCGACTGCAATGTTTACCATAAGGTACATCGTGACCCAGTTTTTACCGGTTCACGCATGCGCCTTCAGCTAGACTTCTGACCCTAGTTTGTGTTACGGAGAGAATTGAGCGTAGAAATAGGTATTTTATTTAGGGCATTGCTGCTGAAATATTGCATGTCAACCTTAAACAACTGCAAAGTGGGAAAACTGAAATTGTCGGCTTCGTAACAACACCATTGTGGATATTCTGTGATGATTGTTACTACTGCAAACGTGGATGCTAAGTTTAGCTGGTGTGGCGATATGGATGAAACATCCGACTTGGGTAACACTACCCTGTGTGGCGAGATAAGTGCAGACGATGAATTTGAGGCTGTCCGCATTGCACTAGGAAATCAAATTGAAGGTAATTCAACACTGTGGCGCAAATCATAATTTATTTGAGATAAATGAAGTGTCAAACGACTAAGTGTGTCAGTAATTCATCAGCTAAATATGAACGTATGGTTGTTACTACATGCGAGCTATGCATCTATTACTATAAAACACCATTGGCTACCGTTAGACAGACTCTCGTCCTCGACATTTAATCTAAAGGATTAAAATTAAAAACATTTTTTAGCTACCTTCGGAGAAATCCATAGAACCCCTTTTTGACACACGTACTGCATCTACCCCCCCCCCCCCATCCACAATATGTATAATATATATATTGTTCCGTTAGGCCCGATTTGTAGGTAATTGATTTACTTAACCCAATAGGTGTGGTGATGTCCTTATGAATGAATTGTGGGTTATACATGTAGAATAAGTTTTATTTTTAAGTGGGAGGATCACGTGGCTAAGTGGGTAAGACGCTGGCTCGCTAGTCTGGAGGTTGGGTGTTCGATCCCTGCATTGGCCGAGAAAGTTCATTCAGATTTTTCAGCGTGGTTTCCCCTTGTCAGTGTTGCAGGACGGAAGGCCTGGATAGGGCAGCTATCTAGTCGGTTGGATGGGATGAAAAACCGAGGTCCCGTGTACACATTGGCGTGCACGTAAAAGATCCCTTGGCAGTTGAAATTCGATATAAGAGTAAGCTGTAGTGCGGCTGCCCGGGCAAAATTTTCCTCATAGCACATTGTATGGCGTATGCCCGTCTTCATTAGCCCAGTTTAGGAGCAGAACAGTAGGATGTTAAACCCCATTTCATTTCATTTTATTTATTTTAAAGTGTGGGGGGGGGGGGGGCGGGAGCAAATATATAGTTGGCGCGTACGCGTCTGTCATTGAGTCAACTGGCGTGGTTTTGACTCACCGAATGTACTGAAAAGAAGTAGGGTCGCCTATCCAACCTCGTTGGTTTTTTCCAGGTCTTCTGGTTTCCTCCCACTGCTAAAGACCCTACGTGCAAGCGAATTATTGAAATAAAATTGTACCATGTGTTACTCTCGCAATGACCTAGTTTGTGTCAAGTGGATGCTAAACTCTCTCTCTCTTTCTCTTTAAAGCCACTTTATAGACGCTGCTTACCATTATGTAAAGAATATCTCTATTCAGAAATTAAATACTGGTTTACATTGTAATACATGTAGGTGCTGTGACATCCTTACGATTGCATAGTGGGTTGTAGCAGTATTATAAGTTTTATTGTGAAGCCACCTATTAGATGCTGGTTACCACTGCTTTAAGAATATCTCCACTTTTCGGAAATAGAGTACCTGGTTTACATGATCTCCTTATGGTTGCATAGTGGGATATTTCCAAGTTTTATTGCAAAGCAACTCTGTAGGCCTATATAGATGCTGGTTACCATTGCTTTAAAAATATCTAGGCTATTCGGAAACTGTACTGAATAACTGGTACATTGTAACCCAATAGGTGCTGTGACATCCTTATGATGTGTGGGTTATATAGGCAGCAGTATTGTAAGTTTTATTGTGAAGCCACTTTATAGATGCTGGTTACCATTGCTTTAAGAATATCTCAACTATTTGGAAATAGGTTTACTGGTTTACATTGTAACTCAATAGGTGCTGTCATCTCCTTACGATTGCATAGTGGGTTATTCATTTCATACTGTATGTATTTGTATTTTAAGTTTTATTAAAAGCCACTTCAGAATTCACACGGCTGTACTGTACTAGTTTAAAGTTGGCCAGGAGTATAGGACTATAGAGCAACCTGTATTTGTGTTAAGTCAACACAAGGTTTACAAATACAGCTCTCCTGGCTATCCAAACTTCTCTTGTATTTTTATATTGTAAGAAAACAGAAGGATTTTATTACAAACATACTGCCTGTGTTTTTTTTTCCCCTTTTATTAACTGCACTTGTTGGTATATATATCTGTCAACACAGAGGCGAGACAGGTTACATCGGTGTCTCTGATTGTCATTTGAAGGATTTTTAATCCCTTACATTGAATCTTTAAATAGAACATTGGTTGAAAAATTAGTCCAATTTCATTTACAAATATATAATGAATTGAATGGTTTGGATTTGTTGTTATTGCTTTTCTATATATAATGGCCCTACACATTTGTTACTGTACTTGCTTAAAAATGTTGAGCGAATACTCTTTGAAACGTCGCCTAAATAAAGCAGTAATTATTCTTTTATAAGTATGTGTCATAGTTTATTGCTCTATCCAGTTACTAAATGCCTCTAAAAAGATTGAAATTGAAAATTGGTCAGCATTCTGCATCCTATGCAGACTAATATGGTACATGTATATATGGTCAAAACAAGCCAGAGCCACCTATATCCTAGCTCAGTTTTTCTCTTGGGCATCTTTTTAATTCGATTAAATTCCAGACAGGAGATTACATGCATCAACCATTGATTGATACTGATATTTGGATATTTTCCAAAAAAGGCAAATGACGACCATCGTTTTTTAAGCAACCCATGATCAGTCCTACACACAAACCAGATTTGGGCCAAATCTAACCTAATAAGGCTAACTGCCATTAATAATTATTGGAAACAATCCTTTAATAGGTTTTTTGCTTTAAAACGAAATCAAGGATTGTACATGTACAAATGTATATATCCACTTGTTTCATTTACAAGAATTTAAAGGGACTATCCCGATTTGAACAAAAATAAAAGTCTGATTACATATGAAATTTAAGCGCCAAAATATAGAGGAATGGTGTATTTACCTAGTCTCCAAATTTCAGCTCAAAATATTGATTTCTTTGGACGTGAACGTCAAAATTGCTTATCGGACACGTAACCCTTTTAAGATTTCGGGTCAATTTTTTCGTTGGGTGACCTGATAATCGACCTCCGTTCCTTTAGAGGTCTCTACAATGAATGACCCATGTGTTGTACTTGATAACGAAAGGTAAATTTCACCTACACATTATTTTTATAAAATAAAAGTCTGGTTTTATCCAGACACCGCATAATACACTTTGGGACACCGGTCTCCATATCCAGATATAGTCTGACGGGTTAAAGTTGTTTGAAAACGTATCACATATGTTGAATTAGTTGCTCGGCCCTAATTTAGAGGATTTTAAGGGATTTTAACACAAAATTAAGCAGTTTTATTCTCCAAAATATTATCGAGATTGGCCCTTTAAAGTTTGTAACCTTTAATGGTCTGTATGTAACCATATACTACAGTAGCAAGACTGTGTGGACAACAGTGTTGACAGCAGTAGAGATTTCTGGGTGAAATATATTTACATGTTACATACACATACCATTTGGTAGTATAATATAAAAAGTATTATCAGTCAAAACTAACAAAGAAGCCAAGATGGCTAAGCGAGTAAGACGCTGGCTCGCTAGTCTGGAGGTTGCAGGTTGGTTGAGAAAGTTCATCGGGATTTTCCGGTTGGTTTCCCCATGTCAGTGGTGCAGGACAGAGGACCTGACTAGGACAGCTGTCTAGTCATTCAGATGGGACAAAACCCCAGGTCCCGTGTACACTTTGGCGTGCACATAAAAGATACCTTGAAGGTTGGAACTTGATATAAGAGTAGGCTGTAGCACCATTGTCCGGGCAAAATTTCCCCCATAGCTCACTGCATGGCGTAAGCCCATCTTCATTAGCTCAGTCGGAGCAGAACAGTAGAACAATAAAACCCATTTCATTACATTTATTTCATTTTGTATAGTTGGGGACACCTAAATGGTTCTGTCTTGTGCTGTCTCAAAGCTAAAATTCTCCACCTTTTCAGACGGCTTGTTATCGATACGCAGCTATACCTTAGGCCTGAAAAGTGGGTGGGCCCCAATTTAAGTGCCAAATGGGACAGGTTTGGAATGCATACACCTCTGCAAATGTTGACAACCAACCCACAGCCTCCGTACGTTAAAAACTAGGAGGTTCTGGATGGCCGAGACTACTACCAAGTGAGCAAAAGGGAATTACCCACGACCAAATCAGTAGGAAGTTTACTTAAACTCGAGACATGACAGAACAGAACAATCTAGGCATGCAGAAATATACAAGCACACCACCATATTTACATCCCTGCTACACACACAAATGTCCATTGTTCTAAAGTTAATTCATAATACAGCTGACATCAGCTGGCCAAAAATATCTTATTATACAGTGTAGAAAATAAGAACCATGAAGATGAAACGAAAGAAACATATAATTTTAATTATTTGACAAGACAACTCTTTGATATTAACTTCTCTGGAGTGATATTTGATAGCATAAAAGATTTTTCTATATGAAGACATTTCCTTGTACAGTCAGTAGATGTATCTAGAACTTCCAAATTAAAGGAAACCGTGGGGAGGATCTACTATATAAAGTTATCTTAGATCTCCATTTGAAAGTGGTGGAAGAAACTTTTTAAAGAGATATTGTTTGTGGTGGATGATCTGGTCATATATATGTAAAGACCTCCACAATGAAAACAGGGAATAATTACATGGCCAATAAACACAAACAAAGCAATAGATCCCTTTGTAAGTGCGGTGGGGGGGGGGGGGTAATGGATACCCTTTAGAGGTCTGTCATGGAATCAAGTGCCATGGTTTCGATTTCCTGCTTGTATGTGAGAAGGAGTAGGGTCGCTGTCCGCTCTAGTGGGTTTTCTCTTGGGCCTCCAGTTTCCTCCCACATATAGACTCCTATCCGCATGCAAATTATTAAAATTGAACCATATGTTAGTCCCAAATTGACGTAGTTTGTGTCGAGTGAATGTTAAACCCCGTTTCTCTCGCTCTTTCTGTTTGTGACAGGCTGGGACATAGCCAGTCCCATCCTACTGTATAAACACACCACAGCTATATATAATTAATCGATCTAGTTTATAAGATCATTATAAACAGAAATATAAAAAAAAATGCACTAACTGCCCTGGGCTAATAAAGATGGGCATATGTCAGGTTAGTCCTAAATGATAAGGCCAGCTCAATTTTTCGTCATAGGTCACGAGATGTTAACAGGGC